CACGTGGACGCAAGACGAGCATCTCCGGTTTCTACATGCGATGGAGCTCTACCCGAACGGCCCGTGGAAGCGATCGCGACCTAATTGCTACCCGCACGATTCGCCAGACCCAGACCCACGCCCAGAAATACCGCGAGAAGCTTGAGCGCCGCCGCCGCGGCCTGCGCCACGACCCCGGCGTTCGAGACGGCACTGCCCGTCGCGCCGACCGACGACGACGAGGTCTATTACCACACGGACGACGTTGGCGTCGTACCGGGTTTGCCGACTGCCTCGATTTTTTGATTGCGATGCTGGACCCGCCGATGCAGCCGTCCTGCGCCTATTAGTTCTTTTCTAAGCACACTAAGTTATCATTTTTACTAGCCCTGCAGATTTGTGTGGTGGTGGTGCATTGCGCAACTTCAGGATCCTGCGAGACGGGCGCCCGGCTGGTGGCCACCCTTCTTCATGTCTGCGTTGGCATCTGCGGCGTCCATGCAGCGCTGGTACCGTTTCACATCCCCGTCGGCCATAGATGTAACTCGGGTGGCGTCCAACGCTTCTTTGGACACTCCATCCACTTGGCTGACATTGCCCGGCATCATGCAGCGCATTCGTCGAGTACGTGGTCTGGGTGTAGTAGCTGCGTGTACCAGTCGTCTGTCTGCGGATCCTGGATAGCGCGCCTGGATGCTCGTCTTGAAAGATGAAAATGGTGGTCCCTTGTGTCGCTGCTTGTGTGTCCGTCCGCTCATGCAGAAGGAACGTATGCGAAGCGACCCACGTTTCTATGGCTAGGAACATTGGTTGGCACGGTCGGTGCCACGACGCCGACGACGAACGCTGCTGCGTACCGTTCATACTAGAGGTTGGTCAGACTGTATCTGAGGCAGAGCTGTGTGCGACACATCGCGGCCAGCTGGGCCCTGCCCCACATCTCGCACCCATGCACGTATCGCAGTACTACACATGTGTAATCTGAGTTTCACTTTCCAATTCTCCAGTCACCAGTCACACCCAGGCGACGTCGTCTTGTTTGCATCATGGCTTCCATCTCGCTGACCCCGCCCGCTTCGCTGAAAACCGACAGCGCGGGCCTCACGCTCGCGCTGTCGCCGCAGCACAAGATCAGCAGCCTCGTCGACCCTGTGGTCACCGCGCCGTCGACCGCCGCTAGCACGCCGACGACGCTTGCCAGTGACGCGCCCAAGCCCGTCGAGGGCAAGGGCACGTGGACCAAGGAAGAGCACGAGCGGTTCCTCACCGCCATGGAGATGTACCCGAACGGCCCGTGGAAGAAGATCGCCGAGGTTGTCAAGTCGCGCACGATTCGCCAGACGCAGACGCACGCGCAGAAATACCGCGAGAAGCTCGAGCGCCGCCGCCGCGGCCTCCGCACCAAGCACGTCGTCCAGAACGACATGGCGCTGCGCCCGACGCCATACATCCCGCCGTACCAGGCCCAGGTCGACGCGTACTACCCGAGCTACCACAGCCCGTACCAGCACGTGAGCCACTACAGCAGCCAGCACCACCAAGTGCCGGCCCACCCGGTGCACCGCCCGCAGTATGAGCACAGCTACATGGCGCCGCCGTCGTCGACGCCGTCGGGGTCGTACCACGACCAGAGCCACTACTTGCCGCCGCCGCCGCCCGTTTCGTCGCTGCCACCGACCACGTCGTACCTCCAGTCGACGACGCACTACAACAGCCACTACGACTCGGCGCCGATGGGCCAGAGCCTGAATCTGCTCTGGGACCCGATCAAGGGCGAGCAAAGCCGCAGCATGCTCTGGGATCCGGTCAAGTCCGACACTGGCCGCGGCCAGCCCGTCTCGGCGCAGCGCAGCGCCTACTTTGCCGAGTAATCGCTGCCATATCCTCCTCCCCCTTGCCTGCTTAGAAGAAAACCAACCACAACGCTGATCGATATTTATTATGTCGGGCTTCCGGGCCATGTAACATACACAATCAAGTTGCAACTATTGTACTTGTGTGCCTACTTCGTCCATTAGCCTGTAGACCAGAAGCTCCGACCATCGTAGTGGCGTCGTAGGTGGTGTTGCCTCGCAGTCGGGTGCTTGTATCACCGCCACTGGATATAAATCGCTGCCGCGTGACGGGTACGGATGCGCCGATTGCAGCGCGGCCTCTCGCGTAAAGCCGCTGTGTTTCATTGACATGACTGGGTGTGTCGCATGCAGGATACCAATCCCGACAAGTGAAGGAATTTCCCCCGGAAGGACTGACCTCCTCTCGAAAGCGTCTCGTATTTCGTGTTTCAATGGTACCTTTTCGCGCTCTCGGTGGAAATCGAGACGGGATTGAGAAACGTGGGCGGCGGCGCGACACCATTCGCTGGATGCTTGGCGCTAGAAAATCCAGCGTGCGACAAGTCGGTGGCGATGGGCCCGGGACATGTCGGCGCGCGCTTCTCCCCACGAGCGTTTACTCACAGACGTGTGACTTGGCGACCAGCTGCGGCGGCCGAACGCGCGCCGTTGCCAGCTGCTGCGTCAGCTGTGGTCGTGTCTGCGGCGGTCGGCTGCCCCTTTTTATTTCGACGCCTCGTAGCACCCACGCGACGGCGCAGAAAGGGCCGAGGTGGCCGCGGAGCAAGCGCGGAGCAAGCGTGAAGAACGAGATGTCCCATGCATACACTACGCTACGCGAAACTCTTGGCGAAGCGATGAGTTTGTGGATGAGACGCCGCGCAGGGTTGCTTTGGGTTGCTTTACGTTGGGTCCATAACGAGAGGTCTTGCACTGTTTCTAGCCGCTCGTACCACGCCGACTCAGATGTCGTCGCGAGATCTGATCACTCTTGACACGATTTTCGCCAAAGATTGAAGCCCGGCGCACGTTCCGCCAAAACACATGTCTTGGACGTTTGGCGCGCCTGGACCGCCAGAATTGAATATTACGCAGCATGCTCCACCTCATGCTCGACGTCAACACGAGCTCTACGACGAGTGCCGCCGAGGGCAAGGGCACGTGGACCAAGGAAGAGCATGAGCGGTTCCTCACCGCCATGGAGATGTACCCGAACGGCCCGTGGAAAGCGATCGCGGACGCTGTCGCTACGCGCACGATCCGCCAGACGCAGACGCACGCGCAGAAGTACCGCGAGAAGCTCGCGCGCCGCCGCCGCGGGCTGCGCACCAAGCACATTCTGCAGCCCGAGGAGCTCCGGGACATCTCGACGACGCGCCCCATGATGCCGGCCAAGGCGATCGCGTCTCCGATCGACAACGACGACGAGGCCGGTGGCTGGAGCGACGAAGGTGACGACGGCACGTTACCGCCACTGCCCGACTGCCTCGACTTTCTCATCGGACTCCTCGAGCGCGACCTGTAGATGCAATTTACTATTTATTCGAAACATGATCGACATCACGACAATAAATTATTTGTTGTCGTATCTTGGTGGACACTTGGGCCGTTTCAGAAGCGAACAACTTGGCTGGTGGAGTGCAGGATAGCCCAACTGCAGGCAAGAGTCAGATAGCCCAACTGCAGGCAAGAGCGCCAGCAATCGCGTTGGTTGAAGTCCATTACACAGGTAATAGATGTGTCTCTGCAGACATGCCGTGGTCGTCCGTCGCGGCAGATCGATCGATCGCCTTGTCCTTCTTCTTCTGGGCACATTCTTCGCGACACGAAGACCATTGGGCGTGAGATCGGTGTCACGTCATGCTCGCGCGATAGCCGCGTCGCGCCGTAATCGCTGCCACTCGTTACCTACGACCTGCCGTGTCTGTGGACAGTATGGAGGCCACGGTGGACACTCGATCCATCTCCCATCTGTGTTGCCACATGTGTTGGCTTACTGAAGTTGATTTTATCAGACCAGACGAGCACTCACGTCCGTTGTGAATGCGAGTCTTCCTTCCGCCCTCGTCGTTCGGGTGTCGACCAAGCACGCAGTCCAAATCTGGTTTGTCCGAATCTGCGGTTCGGCTACCAAACACGGACAGTCCACTAGTACCATTTAATACCTACGAGGAGGAGGAGTCGACTATGTAAAAGTCTCTAGTCCATGCTACTATTAGCTGCGAAAGGTACGTCAACCATTCTGTGATGTGCCAAACGCCTTGGCTCGTCTTCTTCGCTGCTCCTCGTCTCTTCGTCGCCGTTCCTTGGCCAGCTGTTTGAACCTCGCACCACGTGGCGCTGTTCACGTTAACTCCCACGGGGCCAATAAACAAACCTCCGCCACCACGCCGCAGTTGCGAATTTACTCGCGAGATGACGCTTGAGATGACGACCTCCGACGTGTACGAGCCGTCCGAAGGCAAGGGCACGTGGACAGCCGAGGAGCACGACCGCTTTCTCACAGCCATGCAGCTCTACCCGAACGGTCCGTGGAAGAGCATCGCGCAGGTCATCAAGACGCGGTCCGTGCGCCAAACGCAGACGCATGCCCAGAAATACCGCGAAAAGCTCGCGCGCCACCAGCGCGGGTTGCGGGTACAGCACGCGTTCCGGCCCGAGGCCGAGCCGGTCCTGCACTGCCCCGAGACGCCGCCGCCGCTGCCCGACCTTCCCGACTGCCTCGACTTTTTCCTTGACGTCCTCGATGTCTCGTGGTCGACGGCCGAGGTCCTCGAGCTCTAGACCGTGTCATCGTCCTATTTAATTGTTCGTAAATCTAGACCTAATAGCCCATCGTATATCGCAACGACTAACATCGTGCCGTACATTACCGGGTAGGTCGAGTTACGGGAAAGGACGGTTGCATGCACCGGGCAGAGGTCAGCTTGCCGCATCAGATTGATCAAAAAATCCATCAACAACCATCCTCGGAAGAACACGATGGAGTGACCGGCAGCGTGGGACGTAAGATTCCAACTCCAATTCGCAGTACCGGTACTGCAAGCTCTCCCAATGGCACGGGTCAGCGAACCAGAGGCCGCTCAACGCAGGGCAAAAGCGACGCGCAAACCGCACAATGCAGCTAATAGCGCTTGGACGACGACTAGTCGGATAGCTTGGCTTGGGTGCCTCGATGACAGAGGCCGAGTCACGCGCCGGGAGCGAGCACACCCGAACGCTGGACGCTCGTGCTGCCACGCACCTGACTGCAACGAACTGGAGGTGCGCGAACTTAGCCGTCAAATAATCGATTATAATGTATGAATGCGCTTTGAAACGCGCGCGCAGGGACCACGCAGGTGCAGCTGGCGCTTCGATTCGTGCAAAGGAGCTGACAAGGAGCGATCGATGGACCGAGCCAACGTCTCGGTGAGCTACGCCGGCGCCGCCAGCCTCGCGCTCTTCGGGCAGAACGACGACTGCCACAAGGTAGGCCATGTGCTTCTGCGGCGGCTCACGGCGACGCTGCTAGTGCGCGCTCGTGCGCCTCCTCCCGGATGGCTGCGACGACATCAACTGCTCCACGCTCTCGTCGGACGCGAGCCTGTACCTTATCAACACGGTGTACCCGTGGAGCCTCGAGCTGCGCACCGACGACAACGACACGGCGGTGCGCACGCCCGAAACGATCGACCTCATTGCTCGTTAGATCTGGTCGGAGCGCCGGACGTTTGCCGACACGGGCGTCTACGCCATGCGCGTCGAGGATGCGACTGGTGATGCTGTGGCCGTCACGTTCAGCACGACGATCGAGCCGTCGCCGTCGCGTATCTTTCTCGTGATCGGCCTCGTCCTCGTTGCGTGGTTGCTCTCGTGCTTTGGGCTCTTCTTCTACAAGCAGCGCCACGCACAGTCCGCACCGTACGACATCAAAATGTCGCGTGGCCTAACGGAGGGCGTAGGCCGACCCCGGAGAATCTCGACTATGGCGGCGACGACGCCCACGAGCAGCCGTTGCTCGCGCAGCCACCGCCGGCCAAGCCGCGCGTCGTGAGCCTCGACGTCTTTCGAGGGCTCACGATCGTGTGCATGATCTTTACCAACCTCGGCGGCGGGCGCTACTGGTTCTGGACGCACGCCACGTGGAACGGCCTCACGCCGGCCGACGTCGTCTTCCCCTGGTTACATTTCATGTCCATATCGAGATCTGAGAGGCATGTCGTAGGTTTGTGTGGATCATGGGCGTGACCATGACCATTGGCGTGCGGTCGCATGTGAGAAGGGGCGCGTCGCATTGGACGCTCGTGCGGAGCAGCCTCGTCCGCGCGATCAAGCTCTTCTGTCTCGGGCTCTTCGTCAACAACATGCACGACCTCGACACGTGCCGGATTCCTGGCGTGCTGCAGACGTTCGCCTTTGCCTACTTGGTCGTGACGCTGATCGTAGTCGCGGGCTTGCTTGGCAACACGCAGACGCAAACGCATTTGATCCAAGCCAGCCTGATTCTCTGCGTCACGGCCATCTACCTCGGGCTCATCTTTTTCCTGCCCGTGCCCGGCTGCCCGACGGGGTACTTTGGTACGTATTCCCGTCGAAGGCTATATGGATGGACGATGGATTCCGTAGGACCGGGTGGCAACGGGGATTTTGGCGAGTACCGCGACTGCCTCGGCGGTGCGCATCGCGTCGTGGACCGATACATTTTCGGGGACCAGCACATGCTGTCGGGGGGCACCCCCATGGGGGGTGTACGGCCCAGAAGGTCCGTGGGACCCCGAAGGGTTTCTCATTGGCTCTCAGCGTCGCTCTTGACGTACCTGGGCTACGCAGTCGGTGGTGCCTTTTCTGAGCGCAACGTGCTGGGTAGTCTGGATGCTGGCAACGAGGCGTCTCACCCTCGTATAGAAGCGCAAGACGGTGATTTTGTGTGGCGCCGGAGGAGTCTCGTGCCTCCTCGGGCTTCTTCTCTGCGGCTTTGCGATCAACGACGGGTTCATCCCGATCAACAAGAACTTGTGGAGTCTCTCGTTCGTGCTCGTGACGTCGGGGCTCGCGTGCCTCGGGCTCTGCTTCATGTACCTCCTCGTCGACAAGTTTAACGTGTGGTCGGGCGCACCGCTCTTGTACGCTGGCATGAACGCGATCGTGCTCTACGTCGGGGTACAAAAGCACTCAATATCTTCTGGCGATTCCTCAGTGCTGTCTAGCACGAGACGCTTGGGGGCTTCTTTCCTTTTTCGTATGCGCACGCTGATACGCACACGGCGTGGACCATCTCCAACCTCATTGGCACCGCGTCGTGGGTCGTGATTGCGTATGCCATGTACCGCAAAGGCATCTTTATCACGGTCTAAACCAGAAATACTACAGGAGCCCTAGCCCTACCCTAGCTCTACTTGGCACATACAGACTGAACAGAGCACGACGGTTAAATAGGTCTATGGGCGCGCTAAAACTCGTTTTCCTTGTCGGGCATACGGTGAAACGACGACGGCGGCGTCGGCGCCTTGGTGTGCTTGGGCAGCTGGTACGAGCTGTCCATGAGGCTGTTGATAGTCATTTGCGTATCCCGGGCGTCACCAAACGACGTCTTGTCTTCCAGCACGTAGTTGTCAATCGAGTCGTCGGACGCATCCGGAAGGTTGCGCAGTGTGTAGATAGAGAAAGCCTCGGTCGAATCGAGCACTTGCAGCTGCCGCCGGCCCGTCAACGTCTCAAGCACCGGGATGCTCTCGCCCTTGCCGCCGTGGGGCACGACGAACGACGTGTTGGTGGGGTGGTTGCGACGATGCAGCGGCGGCTGGCGCTTGGTTCGCCGCCGATGGTGGCGCATGGTGACGGCATAGATGACGCCAATGACGATCACAACCGCGAGGGCGCCAAAGAGGATAAAGTTGGTTGCTGTAAACGGCTTGGTGCTCGACGCAGCGGCCGATGTTTCGTTGGACCCTACGTGGTAGAGTGCCACTTTGAACTTGGTCCATGGAATGATTGTAGTACGTGGAGGCAACGTCGTCGAGATCGCACTTGTCGCGTTCGGGCGCAGCGTCGTTGCGTTCGATGGCTTCGTCGTCATGTTCGGTGGCGCCGTCGTCGCTCCGTCGAGGTGCGCCGTGGCGTTGTTCTGGCGTCGAAACAGCCCGCCGTCGCTGTGCGCTAAGCATTTGCATTTCTTATACGAGCTGTACATGCCGCCTGGACGTCGTACTGCAGTCGACGTGGGCGTCGGGCAGCGGGCACTGGTCTTGGCCGATCTTGGCGTAGCAGGCGAACGCGCCGCTCGGCGTCAGGTGCAAGCAAGGCTACTTAGCCACGTCAGTCGTCGTGGGAAAAACATGGTTGATCCACGTACTGGGCACGGCGCGACGGTGCAGGGCCCGAGACCGTTGGCGAGGCACGTGCTGACGAGCAAGCAGAGGTCCGTGGTTGCCACGGCGTCTAGAGACAGTGAGCACTTGACGCACAGATACATAGGCAATACTACGCTGCAAGAAGAGGAAGAGCATGCACCATGCTCGTCGGCGCTGCATGCTCCGCCCTTTGGCGCGGGTGCGAGAGTGCTACATCGCACAGCTGGTGGCGCGAAAAGAACCGCCACATGGCCGTGTCATGGTTGTCCAAACTGCCTCTTTCCTATCCGTAGTCACCGTACGACTGGAACCACCGCGCCTCTGCAACGTGTCTGCAGCGGTGGCTCGAGCTGGATGTCCTTCGGCGCTATCGTACTGCTACCGGAGCGAAGGGCAGGAGGGCCATCGCGGGCTCTCGACAGAGGTGCGAACTGTACCGCGTAGCTCAGGAAACGTGTACCACGACCGCTCGCCACTAGTGGTACCGGTACCCGGCGCTGTAAAATCATCACGGTGCCACCGGTATGGCGTGAGGACGCACGGGGTGCTGCCACGAGCCGCCCATGAAAAACGCGTTTTTCGGTAGAACGCGTTACCCTTGGGCCCGCAACGCTTGTCCGCGATACTAGTACTAGACAAGGTCCTCGTGCAATGTGCTGCGGCGGCGGTGCCATTGCAGGCAGGAAAGGTCATGCATGGTCTTGGGGCGCAGAGTGGGACTCCATCCGTTGTCAGCGGCACGTTTAACGCGTTTTACTTGGGTGTGGGCGGCTAAACTGGCGGGCGGGTGCGGTTTCGCGTCCGGCCACGTCATCCAGAGTTTAGCAGGATGCAACCGGGGTCGGTCGTCTTCGCGCTTAGCGCGCTCGTGGGCCTCATTGGCATCTTCCTCGCGCGGTCTGGGTACACGGGCAAGGAGCACTGTAAGCGATGGCCCATCTCGCGGTCTCCTCACGTGCTCTGTAGCCGTCGGCATCGACCTCGGCACGACGTACTCGGTCGTCGCCGTGAACCAGAAGGACAACGTGAGCGTGATCCCGGACGCCAGCGGCTACACGCTTCTGCCGTCGATCGTTGCGTTCAAGGATGGCGGTGGTACGTCGTCTCTCGTCCACACGCAGTGGCGTCAACGTCGGCTAGAGGTGCTCGTGGGCCGCTCGGCGCGGCAGTACCGCAGCCAAGACCCGCGCCACACGATCTTCAACGCCAAACGCTTCATCGGCCGCGCGTACGACCTCGACTCTGGCTCTGCGCTCAGTGCTTGTAGGTTTGACGCGACCGTCGAGACCGAAGAAGCGCCGCACTACGAGTTCGGTCTCGGCCGCGACGAGGCCCACCGCGTGTGCTTTCCGCTCTCGGTGACGGGCCACGCGACGCGCTGCGTGTCACCGGTCGACGTTGGCGCGCACATTGTGTCGCAGCTCAAGACCTCGGCGATGCGCTACCTCGGCCACGACCAGGTGCCCCGCCCCGTACTGCGTCACCATCTTCACTTCTGCGTAGATTTACTCGGCCGTCATTGCCGTGCCTGCCAGCTTTGGTATCGCCTCTCTCTCTCCTTTCTTTGCTGAGAGAGCTCATATGAGCTCATATGTCGTCGCAGACACGGACCAGCGGCTCGCGACCGTCGCTGCCTTCAAGGCCGCGGGGCTCAAAGTTGCCAACGTGCTCGTGGAGCCCACCGCTGCGGCGCTCGCGTACGGCTTGGACCGCAAGCCCAACGTGCACTACGTACTGGTGTTTGACTTTGGCGGCGGCACACTCGACGTCTCGCTGCTCTACCTCCAGAACGGCTCGTTCGAGGTCATCGACACGGCCGGCGACAACCACCTTGGCGGTAATACTGGCATCGCCGCATCTCGTCCTCACCAGCATCGTTGCACCAAGGCGAGGACCTCGACGACGTGCTTGCGACGCACCTCGTGGCGCGTTTTGAAGAGCTCTTGGCGACGCCGGCGCTCCCGCCGCTCTCGACCCTCGCACGGTACCACACGCATATGCTTGTTTGCCAAGTATCAAGATATCAATCGTAGCACCTCGGACGAAAGCGCCTTTCCCTGCACCGTCTCGGGCATGCGCGGAGTGGCCGAGAAGCTCAAGCGGGACCTTAGCGCGCTGCCGTCGGCCGCCGCGTCGTGCGTTATCGAGGCGTCGACGGCGCAGCACGCGGCCGGCAGCCTCGCGACGGTCGAGATGACCCGGCAGGAGTGGGAGGCGCTTGTGGCTCCGATGCTATCGCGGACGCTCACGCCCATCCACGACATGCTCGACGGCAACGGGATGGCACCAACCGACATTGACGAAGTCGTGCTCGTCGGTGGCTCGTCGCGCATTCCGTGGATCCAGCACGCGCTCGCGGCCCTTTTCGGCCGCGAACCCAACGCCCACATTGACCCGGACGTCGCGGTGGCCGTTGGCGCGGCCCGCCTCGCCCATTAGACTCAAAAACGATAGACAGCTGCCTCTTCCTTCATCATAGTATCTTATGGGCCAAAGGCCGGGCCATCCCAGAGAACGTCCAAGTCCCCCGAGGCCTTGGCGCGGACAAAGATCGTGCATAGCATGGCAGGCACGATGTACATGAGCGCGGGCTGGCCGGCCACATACTGCTGGAGCACGATCGACATGACGTTGGCGGCGAGGAGCCCGGCGGCGTAGGCGACGCAGAGCACGACGTAGTACGAGTGGCGCAAGCGCAACGGGCGGCCGCTGCAGTAGTCGACGCGCAGTCCGAACGACACGAGAAGCGCGGGTAGCACAATGTCGCCGAGGCCGAGGAGCGAGCTGCCGCCATAGACCGAGTGCACGAGCGGCAGACTCAGCACGAGCGGCACCGTCACGTGGCCGCACGAGACGGATTCGGGGTGGCGCGCACAGAAATCTAGATTCGGATCGTATCTATCCAAGCGTGTCCAATCGAGAAGCCTACCGTTGATCTCGGACGAGACTTGGCCCGCGCGGGACGCCACGTCGACCATGACGTTCGAGCCAAACACAAACGGCGAGAGGTACACAAAGAAGACGTCGTAGAAGAAGGCGGCCGCGAGCAAGTACGTGGCAATCTGCAAGCTACCGATGGTACGAGGTGAGGATGCAGACGAGACAATAGAAGTCGCTACCTTGGGAGCTGGATCGAGTCGACAAAGACGATGCAGAGGCAGATACCGAGTGCGTCCTGCAGCACCCAAATGTGCGGGTGGCTCTTCTCGAGGAACCAGAGAAGAACGAGCGCGATGCTTGGCAACGCTGCGAGCAGTAGCGTCGGAAGCGAGTCGCGGCAGCAGCGCAGCGCAAGCGGGTAAGTCACAAGGTATGTGACGCAAAAGCAGGACGCGACCGCGAAGATGAGCTGGATGAGCACGAGGAGGTGGACGTAGTACATGATGAGGAGCATGGACGAGCCCATGAGGAGGAAGAGAAGTGCGTGCTTGGCGGTGAGCTGCAATGGCTGGTCGCTCTCGTCGTCGTAGGACCCGACGTCGACGAGCGCGTCCGGGTACGTCGACGCCGGCGATAGAAGCGACGTGACCTCCATCGCCGTCGCGACCACGTGCTGGCTGTAGAAGCGCTCGCGCGCCGCCGAGTGGTACGCCGCAAACACGACGACCGAGACGCCGAGCGCCCAGATGAGCAGCATGCTCCAGTTCCACGGACTCTCGGCGGTCGGGATCGAGGCCGTCACGAACGTGTCGCCTGCGTGAGCCTCCAAGTAGCCCTGCACGAGCGCGCCATCAAGCACCGTAAGGTACACGCTCGGAATCGTAATGTCGCTCGTCGACGCCTTGCCGTCGCCCGTCATGGCGATCAAGACGTTCTCGACGCAGCACCGGGCGTCGTGGAGCGGCGAGTAGACGCAGGTCGACGAGACGCACGTCGCGCTGTCTTCACAGTAGTCGCCGCTGCCGAGCGCGCAGTCAATCTGGCTAGGGTGCGTGAGCGCAGCGGCCGGCGTGTCGCGGACCAGCACCATCGCCGCGCCGGCCTCCTGCGCGTGCCGGACCTTGACGTCAAAGGCGCAGACGCCGCGGTCGAGGAGCACGGCCGCGCCCGTGACGTTGTTGGTGAGCGGCGAGCAGCCAAGCAGCGGCGCGCCGAGCGTGAGCGCGTGGTACGACGTGGCCGTCACGGCGGCCGGCAGCACCGGCCCAAAGAGCGACGGTGCTACGTACACGCTTCGCGCGTCCTTGGCTACGGACGTCGTGATCTCGAGCACCGAGAGCGAGAGGTTCCTCTCGCCGAGGCCAAGGCGATCAAGGCCGGCGGTCGTCGACGCAGCGGTGACGGCCACGAGGCCGCAGACGCTGGGCCAGCGCATGATCGAGTTGGTATATCACCTCATAACACGCCGCCCGCCGAGGATTTCGGGTTGGCCGGAATCCGTAACATTTGCGAAAATGTTATAACACAACATCACTTATAAAATAGTGTATGTCGAAGTGGCATACTTTGAAATAGTGTGTGTTGAAGTGGTAAACACACAAAATCGATTTGTTATGTGGGACGACGTGCGCGGCCATCCTGTGACAACTTCACAGCTGAAAAGATCATCCGAGAGCTCGATTATTAAACCCTTCACTAGATCCTGTCTCTCAGATGACCATTGAGCCCTTCCTTGGGCTCCCTTGACGCTGGAGTGAGTGGACGTACCGTACGCAATCTCACAAAAACTCGTTGGTCAGCGAGGATCGATCCGAGGGCGTCCTGCCAGAAGAGCAGTACTAGTACTGTATTAGTCCAGGGGTGCAGCGGTACCGGTATAGAAAAGGTCGGTTGGGCTGGAGCGAATAATACGACGCCGTTTTGATTCGTACAGACGCAGCATGACGTCGTCGTCGTTTGTGGTGTCGAGTACGTCTCTGATTAGTCCAGTCGTCTCAATTACTACGCCCTTCGCATACCGAAATGACTTCGACTGAAGGATACGCGCTCCCGAGGACAATCATCTCACTTTACCTTTTTCATTTGACAACCAAGATGGCCAGCAACAACGTCTACCACGGCCAAGCCGCCTTTGAACCGACGCTCGACGTCAAGCCGCACACGTACGACGCCAAGCCGTTCGACGAAGAGTACGACGTCGAGATCCAGGTGACGCACTGCGGCGTCTGCGGCTCGGACCTCCACACTCTCACGGGCGGGTGGGGTGAAATCACCTACCCGATGGTCGTCGGGCACGAGATCATCGGGCACGTCGTTCGCACGGGGTCCAAGGTCGACGCCAACAAGTACGCGATCGGGACGCGCGTCGGTGTCGGCGCGCAGTGCGGCAGCTGCCTCGACTGCCAGCAGTGCGACCGCCAGCGCGAGCAGCTCTGCGCCAACGTCATTGGCACCTACAACGGCAAGACCGCGGACGGCTACACGACGCAGGGCGGGTACGCCGACTACTACCGGTGCCACTTCAACTTTGTCGTGCCGATCCCCGACGCGCTGCCGTCCGAAATCGCGGCGCCCATGATGTGCGCGGGTGTCACCACCTACTCGCCGCTCAAGACGCACGGCGCAGGTCCGGGCAAGAAGGTCGGTGTCCTCGGCATCGGCGGCCTCGGCCACCTTGGGATCCAGTGGGCGGTGGCCCTCGGCGCGGAGGTCACGGCCGTCTCCTCCTCGAACCGCAAGGAGCAGGAATGCAAAGACGTGCTTGGTGCGCACCATTTCCTCAACTACAACGACGCGGCGGCCGCGAGCGCTGCCAAGCACCAGTTTGACATCCTCCTCTGCACCTCGTACGGCGACGACACCAACTGGGGCGCGCTCTTCGACCTCGTCGCGACCGAAGGCAAGTTCATCCTCGTCGGTCTCCCCGAGAAGCCGATTGCGTTCCATGCGTTCTCGGTCGTGCCGCGACAGATCACGTTTGTCGGATCCCTCATCGGGTCGCCGGCGCAGATTGAAGAGATGCTGGCGTTCGCCGTCGAGAAGAACGTGCGCTCGATCGTGCAGGTGATGCCGATGGCCGAGGCCGCGACCGCCCTCCACAAGGTCCACAACGGCCAGGCGCGCTTCCGCATCGTGCTTGAAAACTAAGTTTATGCTAAATTCATGAGTTGCTTTGTAAATTGGCTACCTTTGATCGCTCGAGAGGTAGTGGTGGCCTTGGGTTCCGCATGACGTCGACCTTGCGCGCGGGACCTTTTGACCTCTTCGTAGAACACCAACAGTGTACGGTGGCCCAAGCGAACGCTCACGTTTCAACGCGTGTTAAGACGCCTCTGTATCGCACAAAATGAACTCGTGGTTGACACACTGCATGCATGTCAAGCCTGTAGGTGCGCAATTGCACTCAATCGTTTTCGAACGCATCCGGATTCGGATAAAGATGCTGTGAGATCTTAGTCGTAGCACTCGCGTGTCCAGCACAAAACGAGTGCCCATACCGGTAGGTACAATGGTATCGACCTTCCGGTATCATGGGCCACAGGACGACGGCTCATCACCAGTCAGACACTTGCTGAAGGCGAAATTGGAATTGAATACCAAGCTCGAAAGACTACGTCTGCGACGCGGGCGTCTGGGACGAGAGCTTGGCACGAGGACGAGAGCTTGGCACGAGCATCGATGACCGAGGGTAATATCCCAGAGCGACCTGGGCTCGTGTCGTGACGTCACCCACCTCCTCGTGCCATCGAAATGCCGCGCATCCGACTCGGCTTCTCTTTTCTCACACCTGCGTTCGAACCGTGAGCGTTCAAGTTGAAGCTCAACACCACCCACCTCTACAAACGAACATGGATTGCGCTTCGTCTTCTCATTCTTGCCTTTTGACCACGATGTACAGCGCAGATCCGGAACGCACTCCGCCGGCGCCACCAAGCCTCGACCCCGCGACGGTGCTGACGATGACGTCGCTGTATACGCAGTTCCAGCACCACTTGACCATGCAGCGCCACTTAATATTGCAGCACCACTTGACGATGCTGCTTCTCGCAGCGCAATCGGCTGCGTTTACAAGCTGCTGGGTGGTACAGCAGAACGCGACGTTGACGCTTGTACACCGGTCCATGCCCTCGAAAAGCAAGAGAAAGCGACGCACCAATCGCACAAAGCGAGCGGGTACGTGGCACGTCGAGAGCTCAGTGGACATCTGAGCTCTTACGGCAATTGGTACGGGGACTGCCTTCGCGGAACCATCGCGATCCATGACAAGGGAGACTCGCGGCCAATCATGCTTCACGCCCCCTTCCTAGTCTCTATATTTGCCTTGCGAATCTCACTGTAATGTACCCAGCACTTTTGGTTGGTCCAACAAACCTGCCCTAGCAACGGTGTTCGATCGGTTAACGCTCCACTGTTTCTGCGTTGAGCAATTGGAGCTGGCTCGCGAACAATGATGAGGCGCAGACGGTGACATATCTTTGGCGCCCGACGACGGCCTCAGCGCCGTTTTGAATAGTACTATAGTTGCATGCAGCTCATGTACTTCCTTCGAACGGCGCTGTCGCCAGTTCAAGTCCACGTCATGCAAGACCAATGGAAAAGCGACGTACTTTCCGGCGAATCGTACACGAAGTACAGACGTTGCAAAACGCTCAGACAAACCGCGCTCATGCGACCGTGGGAGCCACGGCTCTTGCTCGTCGTGCTCTACCTGTACCTCCTTGGCAGCAGCCTCTATTTTGCGTTCTTCGGGCTCATGGTCTGGCGCCTCACCCCCATCCAAGCCCGCATGGTCCTCTTCATCCAGCCCCAAGCCAGCGCGAGCGCCTTCTTTTCCCTCGCTGCTGCCTTTCTCATTCCGCTCCGGCCGCGATGCAAACACGATGTCTCCAAGTCCTTCGGCACTGCCCGCCCATGGCCGCCAGAGCGGAAAGCGTCGGTGCTTCACACACTCGCCCTGCTCGGCCAGACGTACCTCGCCTACACGACAGCTGCCGTGACGCCGCATTCAACGGTCGCCGGAGCTTATGCGGCGGTCGTCGTTCTCAGCTGCCTTCTCACGCCGTACTACCTTGTGCATGACCGTCTTGGGCTCGTGGATGCTCTCGACAGCGCCACGACGCTGCTCATTGCCGTCATCTTCCCGACTCTCTTTGTGCTTGTCCCGACCGCCACAGTCATCTACGGCCCTCAGCGCGACACGGGTTCGACAGGGAATCAGTACGCGTGGTACGCGGAGTTTGTCGCCTCGTGGCGCCTCCTCGCAGTCACATCTGTGCCCAAGCTTGTGGCCATGATCGCGCCAAGTGCATTGCAGCTGGGGGCGATCGAGGCGACGATAGCAACGCTGCGCCGGCCACCGCCGTCGTCCATCGTCCGACCACCGAGTGAGAGCAGCCTCATAGGCACGCGTTCCCACGTTCGCGGGGTCTACCTTCTCATCGGCTTCAACATTGGCTGGGGTCTCTGCGTGCTAAGTCTATCGCTCTATGCAATCGGCCACAGTAGCACCTGCCCCGCGCACTGCAGCGTTGAAGCGCGACCGTGGTTTAGCTCCACTTGCGCCTGCGTCTACGCGCGGCTCGACTGCCGGACGATGGTACCGTCTCTGGGAGCGGACGAGGAGCGCCACTTGACGGTGGACCGCTTGGGCCCGAGCCTCATCGTGCTGCACACACTGCACTGCTCGCTGCCGCGCGGCTTGCAAGCAGAGACGTTGGCGTCGTTCGAGGACCTCTTCGCCTACGCCATCGAGTACTCCAACATGACGTCGTGGGAGATACCAGTGAGTGCATACCCCTCGTCGCTCGCGCTGGCCTACATACGCTATAGCCAGCTCACGACGCTTCCAGCCGCACTGGCGTCGCCGCCACCGCATCTCGTGGGCATCTTCCTCGACTCGGCGCCGATCGTCAACGTGCCCATAGCTGTGTGGGCCAACTGGACGCAGCTCTCCAGCTTGTGGCTCTGCAACATCAGTCTCCAGGTTTTGCCGGAGTCGATCGCAGCGCTGCAGAGTCTCCAGTTTCTGGTGCTGAGCAGCAACAATGTCTCGCGTCTCCCGCATGCTCTTCGCACCATGCCGCTGCTGCAAAAGCTCTACGTGGACGCCAATCCAATCACCGAGTTCCCAGAGACGCTGCTCACGGCCAACCCGACGCTGGACCTCGCGCTCGACCAAACACAAATCGCAACGATCCCTGACACGCCGGCGGTCCGAGCGGCTCTGCCCAAAGGCCGTGTGCACCTTCGCTCGACACCCTTTTGTATGCATGAGCAAGGGAACCACCTTGCAGCGATGCTCTTGCCGGGTATGTGCGAGGCGGTGTGCGCGCCTTTCTGCGCCGACGTGCGTCGAGGCAACCGGTTTTGCGACGCGCCGTGCAACGTAGCTGCTTGTGCCTTTGACAATGGCGACTGCGCCTATTAGCAGCCAGTCTCTCTGTATCTGTGTGCGCCGCAGATCCACCAAACATGCAGTGCCCGGGAAATGCCAGGCGAGAAGCAAGTTCCAACCGCTCCTCGTAGTACACGGACGGGTCGTCTTCCAAGCAATGGAAGAATCAAGAATCATCTGACGAGCGATGTACTACATACCGAGAGAGCGTCGTCGTGCACGGTTCAACTCGCCATGCAGAGAAGTGCTTGAGAGGCGACGCCACTTGAAACCCTCTGAAAATGAATATGCATCTACGAGATTGTATGCGCAAAGACCTCTCACAACGAATATGTGTGTGCCTGAGCGACACCGCGGTCCGTATCAATGACGCGTCGGGCGCTGCAGCGACGAGCAGCGGCGCAACGTTGCAGCTCCGAGCCCAGAGAATCCGAGCTGGGTCATAATGGAGCTGGGTGAGGCATCCAGCGACCGACGAACTGTCAATGACGCACCGCCTCTCCTCCGCCTGTCTGGGGTTCCATCGACCGGCACCGTATTACTCCGTCGCCGACCGCACGTCGAAGTTTGCGCTGGCATGCAGAAGCACTCGACTTTGAAGAACGTCGAGAGATAGAAAGCAAATGCATTGGATGTTTGTGGCTTAAATAAGGCCGACGATGGTGTCTGCAATCGACGCCATCGGCGCGGAACTCGCCGTCACGACGAGAGGATGAATCGTACTAAATATACAGGAGGCAGAAGGTCTACTCGTAGTGGGCAGGGTTGACGCTGACGGCGCCGAGGAAGCTCTTGAGCAGCTTGGAGACCTTGCAGCCCTCGGTTTCGCAGCGCTGGATGATGCGCGGCGGGCACTTGGCCATCGTCTCTTGCATGCGCATGAGAAAGTCGTTGAGGAAGTAGACGCGGTCCTGAACGACCGACTTGGAGTTTTTCGAGAGAAAGTTGGCGTTCGGAAACTCGGTCTCAAAGAGCGACTTGAGGAACGACTCGAGGAGGCAGCGGCCGCCGCTGCAGCACGTGCCCTCCTTGAGGTGGCGCAGCACAAATTTCTGGAGCTGCACGAACGCCGAGTAGCGGCGGTAGATGACGATCGACTCGTCATCGATCGAGACCTGGACCTTGATCGCGTACTCGGTGTGGCTGCCCTCGCGACGGGCGTCGATGACGGAGCTGCGGAGCGTGGCGAGCGACATGGCTGGGCTTCTTGGCAAATTGAAAAGTGACGACTCGGCGCGCGTTGAAGCGGCCCGTTCTGGCGCCAGCCTGTTACACATATTGTCTGGCGCCGTCTCCGTCTGCGAACTTCGGGTTCCAAAATCCACACCCTCGCTTGAACGACCGCCTGCGCGCGACATGTGCGAACCGCGCCGAAAATTCCCTCGCCAGAAGGACGGCGCTGCGACTTCGTCGCGTTATGTAGGCGTGAGGCCGACGCCGTCTCGCCCGCTGCACTCCTGCGATATACACCGCTCTCGACGCCACCGCAGTGGGGTGGGACGCGAAGTTCGAAGTTATCCAGTGCCATTGACGGCCCGACGAGGTGGAATGTAGGTGCCATAACGCCAACACACCGCCTCTTTTTGTCGTCATAACACTCCCATCGGTGTTGTAACACGTGGGTGGATTGGGGCAGCCAAGAGGCCAGCGCGCAGCGAGTAGCCCGCCGCGCTACACCGAAGTGAAGTCGTCGGTTCATCGTCATACGATGAACGCTGAGAACCCGCCACCTCACGACCGTCGCTTGACGTCTTGGCGTCGAGTCTTTCAAGTGCGCAAGTGTTATAAAACTGTAACGGGCCGACCTCAATTTTAATGTGTATTAGTAGTAGTACGTACGCTCGAGTGCTGTCATTGCTGGCGTGCGATCGCTCCTTCCAATCCTCTTTGAGAAAGGAGCCGCGTAATGCAAGCTCGCAACAAGAACGTCCCAGCGCGACGCTGTTGCGGCGGTAGCACTCTCAATAGCCGACGCTCTTCTCTGCGGCCAGACGCCAGAAGCAGCGGCGACATTGCGCGCCGAAATCTCGGCCGTTCCACATTTGCCGACCAGCCGGCGAAACTGACGCCAGCAGCATGTGGTATGTCACATGCGAGGTCTCGTTAGAAAGGCGTAGGTCGCGCCACGTCCTGCCATCCAGCGATCGAAACAGCTTCATCGTGGCTGTGTTGTGTGGACCTCGGCGTGTATATCAAGTGCGACAGGGGCTCTTCTTGACACCACGCAGCAGCAGACACAGGGCTCACACGGCAGCCGGCCTGAGACGTCGCGTTCATGTATACATGATGCTTTCTCATGGGATTGGATCCATCCGTCGGCGGTCGATCTGAGAACGTGGAAGCGATAAGTCGCCAGTACTTGCGCCATTCTTGAAGGCGATCGAGCGATGGCGACCGTCGTTGGCTGACAAGTCGAGCAGTGATCGGAGTTTGTTGGCCTCTTTGGATGCGACTGCAGTATCCTTCACGATCCGCTTCATGCTCAGATCTTATCCCATGCATTCCTCGCATCTGCCTCTTGGAAGGTGCATTCTCGGAAAATAATTGATGAAAATCGAAAATTCATCGGCGCACCAAGGGGCCGCGACACGACCCGTCGCCGTGTCCTCTGCGCCACAGCTCTGCGCCGCCGCCGAGTTCTCTGCGCGTATATTTTCCAGCGAAAAAGCGATCCATCTGTTGGATTTCTCTTCCCCAATGCGATCCAATGCGATCCAATGCGATCCAATGCGATCCAATGCGATCCCGCACTTGATATATCGATATATATATATGTGGATGTATGTACTTGGGGCTACGACGAAGCGGCGTAGTGCGCGTGCGAGTGGCCAATGACCGCGTAAAACGTCGTCGCAAACTCGTCTTCGCCCACGATCCCGTCTTCGTTCGTGTCGAGGTACTGCATGAGCTCAAACGCCTGCTGCTCCGAGAGCACGACGTCGTCGTCGTCCTCCTTGTCGTCGGCGGTCGCCACACTCGCTTCGTCGCGGTAGAGACTCGCCATCGAGTTGCGCATCGCCCGGCTCGGCGGTGACGTCAAGGACGAGAGCGACGACGACATGGGCACCGAGAGCGATGACGACGACATGGGGAGCGACGCGGGCTTGGCCTCGAGGTACCCGAGCACACGCAGCGTGTCCTTGAGGTCGTCAAACGTGATGCGCTGCTTGAGCGACCGGTCAAAGTACTCGAACGCGCGCTTCATGAGCGACCGCTCCGGCAGCGCCGGGTCTGCGTCCTGGAGGATCGCACCAAAGATGCGCCCGAGCATCTCGTGGCACCACGGCACGTCCGTCTCGCTCGACACTTCATAGTACCGGAGAAACCTAGTTTGGCGTCAGCACCGAGACAAACAAGCGGAAGTACTCGTAGCAGTCGATCTTGCCATGGTCGTCGAGCACGACCAGCTGCGGCGCGTAGAGCAGAAAGTGCACGGGCACGCCGAGGACGTCGGTGAGCGCTTGCTTCCACTGGAGACGCGTGAGGAACATGCGCCAGAAGGGCTGGCCGCGAAAGTACTGGCGGAGCGCGTCGCACTTTTGGCCAATGAGTTCTTGGAGGCTCCAGAGCGTCTTGTCCTCAAACGCCTTGGTTTGCGCGCGCCAGTTGCGGTGGCACGTGTACTTTTGAAGCGGCTGCGCGTAAAACTGAACCACGTACGGCTTGAGCTCGTTCGTGACGACCACGAACGCGCCCTTGTTGGTCTGGAACCCGCAGTACGCCGACGCCGAGAAGACCGAGAGGATGAGCCCGTCGTGGCACACGACGTAGCCGTCCTCGTGCGACTCGTGGGACCGAATGATCATCTGGAGGTTGTTGGTCTTGCAAAACGCCTGCGTCACGTCCGGCCCAAACTCGTAGCCGCAGCCGCGCTTCGAGACGGTGATGCCCGTGTGCGGCTGCGGGTCGTTCCAGAGCATTTGACAGAAAATGTCGTCGGCCAAAAGCCCGCTCGCGCCGGTGGGCGGCTCGCGCTCAATGTCAATGGCCTGGATGTCGGCCAGCGTCACGCCCGGGTTGTGGGGCACGCCGCCATGCACGATAAAGATCGCATCTTGCACGAGCGTGCACAGCGGAAGGCGGTTGAACACTTGCTCAAAGAGCAAGAAGAGCGCGCCAGAGTCGCGGTACTTGCGCATGACTTCTTCTTCAAAGCCGAACACGTGGTTGAGCATCGACGCCTCGTGGTTGCCGCGGTTCAAAAACACGTAGGACGGGTACAGTAGCTTGTACGCGAGCAGCGTCAAGATGACTTCGACACCGTGGAGGCCGCGGTCGACGAAGTCACCGTTGAAGACGTACCACACGTGCTTGCTCGGCACGCCTTTGCGGTCAAAGATCGTCATGAGGTCCTCAAACTGGCCGTGGAGGTCGCCAACGATGACGACCTGGACGCCGTTCGGGATCGTGAGCCGGCTCATGCACACGAGTGGCTGCTCGAGAATCTACACATCGAGTCCATCAGACGATATATCCTCCTGGTGTCTGCAGCGTACGAGGTTGAGGAGGCGCGTGACGTAGGCTTGATGCAGCGGGAGGCCGTTGCGGAAGGCGTCGACGAGCTTGAGCACTTGGTTTTCCGTGAGCGGGAACGTGAGGTGCGCGCCGCGGTACGACGCCGGCACGACATTGTCTACCCATATACGTATCAAGTTGATACATGTCTGCACCAAAGAGGCGTGTACCCGGGAGGTTTTGGTTCTGGAGCTCGGCGGTTTGGTCCCACGAGTTACTCCACGCGGGCGTGAGCGACTGGAGTTCGTTGACACTGATCGACGTCTTGAGGATCTTGACCGTCTGCACCGCGCGCTGCTCCTCGAGCGTCTCGAGGAGGCTCCACGTGTGGAAGTGCAGCTGCGTGCGGAAGAGGCGGTACGCCAAGTACGACTTGAGGCGCGACTTGATGCGGTTCGCGGCGAGGATCATCTCCGAGTAGCGCTCGACGTACCGAATGTGCACGCGCTGGATCGTCTCGCGCGCCGGCATCGACACGTGGACCATGGCTGCGTCCGACGAGCCTTGCACGATCGTGCCGACGCGGATGCCATAGACAAGCACCTTCGTGCCCGGCAAGAACGGCTCGGGCAGCGGGTCGCAGTCGCAGCAGATGCGGACGGGGTCCGTGTAGCCGAGCAGCGGCAGACGCGGGATCAAGTGCGAGCACTGGTAGCACACGCACGTTCCGCACTTGCTACGTACAGGTGCGATGACGACATCGTCGTCATGGGCGTCGTACCGGCAGTGGTGCGGGCGGAAGAAGGCAGAGAACGTGCCGTGGCAAATCTGGCAGTGCTTCGAGTTGGGCACCCATACCGGGCGCATCGCGATGCGGAAGGCCTTGACCCACATGTCGTAGTGCGAGTGGCTCGAGGCCTGGAGCTTCCACGACGTGAGCGTCCCGTTGGTCGCAAAGCCGGTCACGAGGATCTCGCGCGTCCGGCGCACGCAGCGCATCTCCGAGTTGAGCGACGACGTGGTCTGGTTGAGCGAAGTGAGGTCGAGGCCCGAGCCCGAGATCTCAAACTCGGTCGCGCACAGCGACGGATGCAGCAGCATGACGCCTCGCAAATTGCGGGTCGTGAGCTGGTTCGTGAGCGTGAGCTTGTTCTTGGGGATGTGGACGACGACGTCGCCCATGTCGTTGATTGTCTGCTTGACCGGGATCTCGTAGTACTTGAGGAACCCGTTCGAGTCGAGCACAAAGTAGCGAAAGTGGGCGTAGTCGCCCTTCTTGATGAGCGGGCCCTCGGCGAGGTAGACGACCAGTGGGCTCGTGGCGCAGAGGTCGACGCCGAGGCAGCAGCGGCAGACGCCGTTGACGAAGGCCAGCATCGAGTCGGCGGTCTCTGGCGACGTCTCTTGTCGGCGACTGGGGCTCGAGTACCGAAGCATCCGTGGCGTCGTCGTCTCTGTCTCACAGCGTTGAAGTCGGGCCAGAAGGGGCTTAGCACCTCTGCAAATGCATCGCGTCAGCCGGAAACCTCTATTTCTTTATATATGCAGTTGCGACCAGCTACACGCACGCAACTGCCACCCGCGCACGCCACAAAGGAGCCAGCGCAGTTGGCACCGAGGCTGCATCCGTGCTAGCTAAGCGCCATCCGGGCATGGCGATGCCCCATGTCTCGGGGTGGAGACGTGCCAAGTTGAAGTGGCGCCGTGGAGCCAGCAAGCAGTTGGGTACAATTAGCCTCAACCAAGTCCGGAATGTCGACAGCGTGGGACCGGCGCTGGGTCGTCCGCCCTCAAGCGTCGATAGACGCTGCAAATCGTTGCGAGTTCGTCGAGACGGCAGTTGGGTGCTTCAAGCTGGACGGTCTTGGCAGTCGTTGCGACGGCGGAACGTCAGCTCGAATTTGTGTGGTCGCGGTCGTCTTCTGCTGCCGCCATCGAGTACAGTGTACCTACTTCCCGCTTCCATTTCGTTCGTATGTGGCCAGGATCTTCCGAGCTTGGAGATGCTAGGTACACTTTTGAGTCCTTGCTATTCTGACGGCTCATCAGTATTATAACCTCAACCAATTGGTGCTTGCTTCCTGCAGTCGCTAGAGCAAGACGTGGCTGCGAGTGCAGTAGTAGCTGGTGGAGCCGATCCCGCCTAGCTATCCCGCTCTGTACCTGTACTAGAGTCTGAGTTTTAACTTTAGTCTAGTTCCTTAGGCTCAGACCGGGCTGTCGCCCGGCTCCCTTTGGCGGGTTCACTGGCCGTGGCCTTGATTGGTCTCTTACAAGATCGCGTGAGCGAACCCGCATCGAAAATAGCTGCCTTGCCTCGTGCTTCGAAGCGTTCATTTCTACTTTGCCTCTCGCTTCCCTACCGAATTCTACCATGTCCCGACCGAGCGCCACGCAGTCGCAGAACCTCAACAACTTCATCGGCGACCGCTCCAGCACGCGCCTCGCCAAGCCGCCGGGCGGCGGGTCGACAGTCGGATCGCTCATCTTCGGCGGCGCCGACGCGGCCAACAGCACTGCGTCGGGGTCATTTATGGACGACCGGAAGGGCCGTCGCGGGTCGTCGAACCGCCCCGAGCAGCTCGGGAGCCAAGTGTTTGGCAACAACGAGGCGCTGGTGCGTCACGGCAGCAACAACAGCGGCGGCGGCGGTGACAAGGAGGCGCAAAAGTACCAGCTCCAGCAGCAGCAGTACATGCAGCAGCAGATGGAGCGCCGCGGCAGCAACCAGAACCAGAGCGCGAGCGACATCTTCCTCCAGAACGCGCCAGGCAACATTGCGGGCGAGCGCCGAACACGCCGCATGTACAACGGTGGCCAGTCCTCGGGCTTCCAGCTCTCATAGGTCGCCACCGACATGAGCCATAACGCACCTTGAATATGATAGTATATTA